GGGACATTTAAAAGTGTTCCAGGAAAATAAAATAATAAAACATTTTAAAATGTCCCAGGATTTTATTTAAAAAAATTCACCTTACCTTAGCCTGGTGATCAGTGGGACTCCCTGGACCCTGGTTGTGGGGGGTCTGTTATGGCCGCAGCTGCTCCATCCCTCTGCCGCCTTTCTGCACATCTGACACTCCTGGCCAGTGGCGTAGCGAGGGGGGGCGCCTACCCCGGGCGCAGGGGCGGACTGACCGTGCGGCCGTCACCGCAGCTCCCGGTCAGCCCGTCCGCATCTGACCCGGCTCTCTAATCGGCCGCCGCTCGCTCCTCAAGTGGGTCCTCTGGAGGCCCCCACAGGCAGCCCTCTACAGTGCCTGATCCAGCCAGCCCGAATTGCATACTGGCTGTATCAGGCAGACGCGGCCCTCTGAACAGGCACTGTAGAGGGCCGCCCACGGGGTGATGCTTTGACATGCTTTGACATGTGTAGCACTCACCCCCGAAGGAGCTGTTGAATGCTCGGTTCATCTCTAGTCTGTCTAGGGTATGATCTTCTCTAGTCTGTCTAGGGTATGATCTTCAGCTGCCCACCCATTAGCATTTACCGCCCCAATAGTATAATGCAGAATAACGTTTATTGAACATATTCACTGGTGGGAGAGGGTATAGGGATTCAAAGCTATCAGGGTGTAACCGACATAAGCTCCAGACTCACCAGACCTGGTTGGCATATCAGTGTAGATCCACTTGGGAGGCAGTGGATAGCAACTGAAGTAGCAGATGAGCAAGGATGAATATAGATCCTCAACAGGAGAGACACCGGCCATACTCCTAAAGTCCTTAAGTTGCAGGAAACTTCAAGAGCCATCATTGGTCCTAGGTCTTTTCCTCCAACAGCAACACAGACCTTCTCCATGTTGGAGGCCTCAGGGAAACATTTCCCTCACACCAGCCTATGCCCACCCCCAGGCCTTAGGCCTAGCCCGGAGGGGGCAGGCTGAACAGCACCCAGTCCTAATCTTTGACTGGTCCCGGCTAGTCTGAGCACATGGGAAATCCCTCCAGTATCCCTCTTATCCCACCATGCACCACTGGTTAAGAGAAACCCAGTGATTGGCTGCTGTACTGTACAAACACTATAGTATCTCTCATTGGCTGTCCCACAATATGACAGAGTCACATACTGCTCAGGGATGTACAGGCAATGCCAGACACCTGGAATTAACCAGATAACTGCCACTATAATTCCAGCCAGGCTGCCTACAGCCCTGGCTAGCACTAAATGTCTAGAAGCCACATCACAGAAGGTGATGGTGGCTACACATGTAATATCTTATTATTTTATTATAGAGTCGCATATGGTTTTATTCTATACTACTGATGCTCTTTTTAATTTCAGTTGTTGGCAGCTCTTCAACAATGGGGGAATGGACGTCAAAAATCTGCCATGTCAAATTCGGTTGCAGATACAGAAAGAAGGTCATCATTAAATAACGCAAAAGATTTAAGGCTTGTTTTCAAATGTGTCAATTCAAGCAGCACTGGGTGAGTGCAGTGCAATGTATAAATAAACAATAGCAACACTTTAAGGACCACAGCTTTCCCTTATTCACCTATAATAAAGCTTGATTTAAACTTAAAGAGTTAGTGCACTCAAAAGTGACCATAATTCCCAACTCCATACTTGTTCACCTAACTGTTTTGGCAGTTCCTGCTTGTCCACCTTTGCGTTTGCCAACTGTTCTTGTTAAATTCTTCACAATATAAAATTGTTTTTAGAAATCAAACAGGGAGAGTGGGAACCCCTCACTTAAACCCTCAATTAAACCCAATTATCAAGTGGTTTAATTCTGCAGTATCTACTAATCATTGAATTTGCAGTTTTGAGTTGACCATCCCTATACAATTAATACAAAAAGGCATCAGGTCTAGCTGAATTATAGTACAGTCCTGTGGCTTATTTTCTTTTTAATTCTAACATAACAAGATGTATTTTTGTCAAGCCTTGCTTGACAGGGGCAAATGTCGAATGCATTTTGTCGAAAGAGGCAACATTTGGCCAAACTTTGAAGAAATGAAAACCCTCAATTTTGCTGATTCCTTGAAGTTCCGTGGGGAACCCAATTTCCTTTGATGTTGTTAGCTGCATCCTTTCTCAGCATCAGTACCTCACTGAGGCGAGAACACTTATAATATTATACATTTCCCATACGTATACGTTACTCCCAGAGGAGGTTCCCTGATGTATATTATTTTATTAGTGTTTATTATAAGTATTAGTAGTATGTAATACTACTAGTAATAAGTAGGCTTAGTAATAACACCAGTGGTTGTGGCAGCAGTGATATAATTTCATGGATCTCTGTTACATATTATTCCTTTCTTCTTTTTTTACATTATTTAAAAGGTGAAAAGATAAACGAAACATCTCCTAAAACGAATCACAGTCATTTTCTCTTATAGATTTCTTAATGAAATTGAAGTGCACAATGCTCGAGAGTTACTTGGATTAGTAACTAATGATGGAAGAAAGGAGCACATAAGGAAATTCATGGAATCAAACAGTGGGTAAGTGCTGGGAAGGTGTAATGTTTCATACAACATCAAGCAAGCTCACCTAAAAATAATAAGATCCTACTAAATTATCTGTCTGTGCTTAATGTTCAATCCAAGTCATATAGCAGTCGGATAGATTGACATTCGTACATTAGGAAGTGGTAATGCATACTGTAAATCCATTATACGCCTCCCCCTATTCAGTGCTATATCAATAAAAAAAAGTGAAAAAATATAATCACCTCAATAGGGTATTTAACAATATTCTGGGGTTTTTTTTGCCAGTTTAGGGCAAGGTGACAGTTTCTCTAGAAAGGGTACCCTTTCACCCACTAATACCTTCACTGCACTCTGTCTGTGATGGTTCTCATTCATTCAGGCCACCTCATATCTGTGGGGAGAAAAACTAAACGAAAACTGGACTTGCTGTATTTTTCTTGAAGACCATTTGCTGGTCATCTGAATAGCTTTCTCAATTCAGAATGAGAATTGAGAAAGCTAGTCGGATGACCAGCGAAACATCTTCAAGAAAATTACAGCAAGTCTGATTTCTTTTTACAGATATTCACTGCACTTCTCTGCTGTTCTACTCGTCTTTTGGAGCACTGCAAAATACCAAATAATCTCAGGTATGAATACATATCTAAATTCTCCTCTTCCTCTCATAATTCAGTGCTTGGTCCTGAATGGCCAATCACCAATCTTAAAAAGTGTCACAAGAGGGACATTCCACCTGTGTGAGCCCCAACACTGACCGATACGGTGCTCACACAGATACGGCACTCCCACAGGCGAATGGTTAAATTGAGACTTAGGCCAACTGAAGTTTGTTTGTTTTTTATTTTAGAAAAGCATAATCCAACAGGGTTGGAAACCTTGCCCAAATGTTATTGCTTCCCCCCTTCTCAAGATAAGTGGGGCTGAAAGCTATCTCCCCTCTTTTTTCTCCTCCCCTCTTCATAGGCATAGGAAAGAATGCTCAACCAAGTCAAGCATTAAGTTTATTTGAATAGCAACCAGCAGACATGCCTAAGGGCATGCACATCAGACTGACCTCCTGTGTTTATGGCCAGCTTATATTTTGCAACTTTAGCTTGAACAGCAATTACAACCTCAGGCTAGCTGAAATGCTACATATATACCTAAAACGATATAGCACACCAAGTATCTGATCTAAATATACACATCTGCTTGTGTTGTAGCTGATCTCACTTATCCCGTACTGATCTAGACATGTGAATTGACAAACAGGAAACAGAAAAGCACAATTGCAACCAAGATATTTCCTTCCTAATTTTGATCAGTGTGTGGTGATCTGTGCTACAACCAAGTATACAGAAATGATTTCAACATTTGTTGGAGGATAGTTATAGAACTATTTGTGTACAGTAATACCTTGGTTTACAAGTAACTTGGTTTGAGAGTGTTTTGCAAGACAAGCAAACATTTCTAAAAAGTTTTGCCTCGATATACAAGCGATGTCTTGCAATAAGAGCAAAATTTTGTAGAGAAGCACCACCCGAATAAGGCTGTAGCAGTGCGAGCGATGAATCTGATTAACGACAATGCAATGTCACATTGGATAGATTCCTTGTTAAGGTTTCACGAAATGAAAAAGATTCCACTTAGCCAAGAGATAGCAATGATTCCGTTAGTGATAGTGAAAGTCGTCCTACACAATAATCCTCCTCTCTCTCGTCCCCCTCACACCAGCCACGAAGGTACCGGTACATGTGAATTGACAAACAGGAAACAGAAAAGCACAATTGCAACCAAGATATTTCCTTCCTAATTTTGATCAGTGTGTGGTGATCTGTGCTACAACCAAGTATACAGAAATGATTTCAACATTTGTTGGAGGATAGTTATAGAACTATTTGTGTACAGTAATACCTTGGTTTACAAGTAACTTGGTTTGAGAGTGTTTTGCAAGACAAGCAAACATTTCTAAAAAGTTTTGCCTCGATATACAAGCGATGTCTTGCAATAAGAGCAAAATTTTGTAGAGAAGCACCACCCGAATAAGGCTGTAGCAGTGCGAGCGATGAATCTGATTAACGACAATGCAATGTCACATTGGATAGATTCCTTGTTAAGGTTTCACGAAATGAAAAAGATTCCACTTAGCCAAGAGATAGCAATGATTCCGTTAGTGATAGTGAAAGTCGTCCTACACAATAATCCTCCTCTCTCTCGTCCCCCTCACACCAGCCACGAAGGTACCGGTAATTGGTTTATTTTTCTTTATATTTTGTACGGTATTATATCACAGTACAGTATTGTAATCATTTATTATGAATATTTTTGGGTTGTGGAACAAATCATCTGAATTTCCATTATTTCCTATGAGGAAATTCGCTTTGATATACAAGCGCTCTGGATTACAAGCATGCTTCCGGAACGAATTATGCTCGTAAACCAAGGTATTACTGTATTTGCTTTATAAGGAGTACAGAAAAGGACAATGCTCCCTCAAAATTAGGCTGACATTGTAAATATAGACTGTGATACTAGCTTTGTCGTTAGTTACACTAAGTTCATGAGTGAAGAGAGAAACTTAACTATTTTATATGATAGATAATGGAGACATACAGACCCACACATTGCCATAGGGAAACACATTATATTAAAAATATCTAATGCTTCAGAAAACAGTGTCAGTGATTTCAGACATGCTACAGGAGATGATCAGAGACTGTGCACATGCTAGAGGAGATGGTCAGAGACTGCGGACATGCAACAGGAGATGGTGAAAGACTGTAGGCATGTTACAGGAGATATTCAGAGACTGTAGACAGGCTACAGAAGATGGTCTGCTACAGGAGATGGTCAGAGACCGTGGACCAGGGACGTGCGGTCAGGGGAGGCAGGTGAGGCAGAGCTAAGATAAGAGCCTCACCTAGTATTATGAAGAAAAAAGGTGTCATCTTCAAGTCTGAAGCTGACAGCTTTTTCTCCATTCAGAGCGGCTTGTTACAGGTTACACAGCAGGGACAACCTCTCCCTGCTGTGTAACCTGTCATGGACGGAGCGCTGCCTGTTAATTACAGGCAGCTGCATCCGACTTTTGACAGGTAGTTAGGTTACACAGCAGTGGGCTTCCCCACTGCTTGTGTAACCTAACATGGGGAGGCAAGAGCTGTCACAGCCTCTATTCTGTGTTAGAGGCGTGAGCTCTGTGGATGGCTTGGGCCAATGGCAAAGCGCCATTGGTCCAAGCTGTCCAATAAAAAAAGAAAAAAAAAACACTGAGGACATCGATCTCGATGATTCACTAGTGACGAGCACACAGCTTGGTTACTGAGCTGGGGGTGGGGCTTTGGCAGGATGGGGCTTCGGTGGGACCGGGGCGAGCTTCGGCGGGCTTGGGGATGCCTCACCCAGCACAGAAGGCACGGCACGTCACTGCCGTGGACATGATACAGGAGATGGTCAGGGACTGTGGACATGCTACAGGAGATGGTCAGGGACTGTGGACATGTTGCAGGAGATAGTCAGAGACTATATACATGCTACAGGTGTGGTTGGAGACTGAGAACATCCTGAAGGAGAAAGTCAGAGACAAGAGACAGGCCATGTTAAAATCAAGGCTTTTACATTTCTGTTCCTTGTGTTCCCTACAGCTCCCTTAAAAATTCCTGCCCCATATTTGATGTTCTCTATAGCAATAACTATTATCTTAACTCAGAGAAAAAAAATAAAAGAGAAGGGAATGGGCTGCGCAGAACAGGTATGAAATTGTGAAAGAAATAAGCCAAACTATTTACCTTTGGTTCAGAAAGCCCATAGTCATAGGAATATTTTGCTTCATTGACCTGCATTGTGGTTCTTATAGCACAGCTACTTTGGTAGAGTGTAGATCTGACATTGCAGGTACCGTTATATTTGTAGTGGATGTATTATGCAGTACAAGAGGAGGTCAGAGAATGTGCATAGGGCAGAACCCAATGCAGAGTGAGGGGAGATGTTCCCAGGGTTTCCCTACATCACAGGTCACATGACACATAGCCACAAGGGTAGCCAAGGAATACTTCTGCTCATACTTCTGCTCATACTGTTCCTGGTCATGCAAATCAAGAAGAAAGCACCTAGGCAGAGGTAACACTGACTATATCCTGATGGGGCCTAAGTGTCACACTGTAAGTATCAAAGAGCTGCAGGAAATATATTGCAGCTTATTAGTCTTGATGTGGTGGCTGCATTTGTTTTCCTTCTTAGGTTCTTTTGCTTTATTTTTACCTGATAAACCTGCTAGTAACACACTTCCTATCCTAGGGTGACAACGTTCACTAACTGTACTTTATCTCTGAAAAAGCAGCGTTGTCTCTCTAGGGCAGGGAGTATGTTAGGGCTGCAGAAAACCTCCCCTCTCCTCATCTCCATAACATAGAAGGGAGGCACAGAAAAAGCTGGGGACAATGCTAAGAGATCAGAGTGCAGCAAAAAACAGAAAAGGTTATCATCTAACCAAAAGGGAGCGAATTGTTAGGGTGCATATACAGTTGAAAAGCTAACTTATTATTAATAAAACAATTATAATTCCAAAAAGAGAATACATTAATGAGCATTAATGAGCAAACGATTTAAATCTGAACTCCAGGCAGCTATAAAAGACCTACATTAATGGAACTCTATATTTAAAACACATCAGAATTGTTTTGTTTGATGAAAGTAGTGTTAGCACCTGAATCTGGCTTGGTTTCGGCCTCTTGCAGTCCCTGCAAAGCATAGCTCTGACCTTGTCTTTATAATCTCCTCTGGCTCCATCTTGCACACACTGTAGTTCCCCATACATGTCTGTGCTGTCAGTCATAGTCAGTAAGCTATATCATTTACCACTTATCCACTGATATCACACAAGAAGTGAACAAAATAGGCTACACAGTCAACTGGTGACCCATCAGAACATGTCCTAACTCATAGTTTTAAAAACACAGTACTAAAGTATCAGGAATTTGTTACTCTTTATTGTTAATATTACCTCTCTTGCCTACAAAAATGGGTACTTAGTCTGGGCATAGTACAGGCAGTGACGTTTATAGCCCATCTCTGGGCAAACCAAAAACTACCTTGGCAGTGGGTCTACCCCTGCAGAGAAAGGGTTAGGTGCTTGTTTATGCCTAGGAGACAGGAAAAAACTATTTTACTTACCTGATGCCCAATCCTGATGACTCTCTGCAGCCTCTTCTCCCCTTCGCTCCCATGGTCTAAGGATCGCTGATGTCATCAAGTCTAAGGAATGTTCCGCAGACTTGCAGTAGATGTGAGGACACAGAGGGACATTTAATCAGTCAGAGTAGAGGAGAGTGGGGATCAGGTAAGTAAAAGTACTTTACTCTAGTCCTCTAGGCATAAAAGAGCACTAAACCCTTGCCGTTTGGGGATAGCCCCACTGCAATGGAATTTTTTTTTTATTTGACTGGAGACGGGCTTTAAACTGTATGATCTCAGCTCACCACAGAAGTCTTGTTTGCAAGAAAAAACTCTAAACCTCCCTATGTACATTCAGAGCAGGCTACATGTAGCATATGCTTACTTAGAATCGACAATTGTTATGACATAACTGATTCCCTTTCTAGTCACATCCACTATGGTTATGTATTGGTTTCGGGCTATCTCCCAATAAACAGGAGCTCAAACAGCTGACCAATACCTAGATAGGCATGGAGGCTATCCAATATGCCAAGCTTAGCAAATATGTATAACTATTGCAATTTTACAAAAATATTCACTCCTCATGTATGGAAGCCTAGCAAAAATTTCTCTAATTCGTACATGCATGAGAAATACTACCAGACTGTCTAGAAGTTGCAGCATAAAAGTCATAGCCATGCTTTTAAATGCCATTCATATGGAAACAGCCATTAGCGCCAAGAGTTAAAGAAAACTTTTTGTCTGGAGCATTGAGAGGCTGAGAGGGCAAAACAAAAAAGTTCTACTTTAAGAGTTCTACTTTAGGTCAGATCACCAATCCTCTCCTAATTATACATCATTATTTTATCTTGAAGCGCTTCTCTGCAAAATAGTTTCATAGCTGTATCACGTAGATATTTCTCTATGTCAAAGGATTGCTTTTGTAGTAAGGAATTTTTTTTTTTGCATTTCAAGTAATTTGCAATATTGCTACTCTTATCAGGCAAAACATAAAGAGATAATACAAAGAACATCCATATTCCTACATGTCCGTAATTTGTTAGGTAAATGTGCTCAGCATATCTAGAAAAGGGAAATGGTTATTTTGTTCTAAGCATATTTACATGGCCAGAGATATAAAATACAGATACTACTTTGTACTAACTGAATGAACACGTTCTCTGATAATGAACAATGTACACATAGGGCTTGTATACTTAACTGACACACAGTTTGGAATTTTAGGCCAAAAATATCAAACGAAGGTGCACAAAACATGTCAACTAGAGATATAACATTCTTTCCCCTGAATAACAGTGCTGGGTGGGAGAACATTTCCTGAATGTGACCTTATCAGTCTGTTTTAAATAAATTTGATTGAAAAATTCTTCCATTTGGATGTAAATAAAGGAGTGTGGTACCAACATATATCTGCCAGGGAACTGCTACATGCATCTGACCTTCCTCCATTAGAAGTTCCAGGTTCATGAACCCCTCCAGATGCAACAAATATTATTCATGTTCAATATGTAAAGCAGGGCTCACCAACAATAAAGGCTTTGACAATGTTTCTAGTGATGCCTTTTGATAAAACATAGGCTAAGATAGATTTGTATTTAAAATTTTTTAAAACCAGAGTAAAAAAAAATAGCACAATTCTACAAATAGTTGCTGTGCTGCTGACCTCTCTATAGAGTTCACTCAGCCATTAACTCTAAAGGGTTGAAATTACTTTGCATGCCTTATTTCTGCACGATTTCCCAACTTTTTTTCTCCCAACTTTTTTCAAAAAATAAATGTGATTCACTAAAATGTGACCACACTCATGACGTCAAAATCAAAAGCATTGACACATGAAACTTGCTTGTGTAAATGTTTGCACTTGAGATTTAGTTTCTCAATGTGGCTTCTTACTCATCAATGAGTCTGAGGTGTATTAAACGCAATGCTGTCATGCTGTCATTAAATAAAAGTTAGTCCAAACAGAAATACCTGTAAAACATCACCAGAGCTCCACTTCACTGTCCTCGAAGTCCATAAGAAGCTGACACTTCCAGGAGGGCTCATTTACTGTGTCGTCGCCCCCCACCCCCTCATGTATTCAGTGGTTCCTCTGGCCAGCCTTTACGTCACCACAAGGCACAGTAGTGACATAGCGGTTGGTGGGTGGAGGAGACCAGAAGATAGACATTCCCGGAAGTGTCTGTTTCTTTATGAACTTCAGAGGAGGATTAATTGCAAACAAAGCAAAGTTCGGGCAGTATGGTCAGCAGGAAGGGTAAGTATTCAGAGTCTTCTTTTTAAAGTATGGCTGTGTGGAGGTTTCTGTTTTAATGAAAAGGACGGGGGCATTTTAGGATGAAGACTCCCTATCAACCCGCCCTTCCTAGCCCCCTAACCTATTTTGAGCTGACCCCCTTCCAACCAAGTACCTACATACCTCTTTTCAATTATGGTATCCTCCTGTAGTATTTATAGTTTTGATGCAGACATGTTGGCTGACATTGCCCCTACCTGTGCAGTAAATTCTCTTAGACTTGAATGGGCCGTACCCTTAACGGCCAAAGTATACAGGAAGCTACTGCACTGCAGACACTATTTTTACACAGGTTGACATGTGGGAGTCCACAACTATTGTTAAGTGGTAAATATGTACATGGGGAGGGGGTGATCTTAAAAAAGGTTAGGGAACTAGTAAGGGGAGCTGGAATAACATTTGGGTGAATGTACAAATGTTGTGCAATGGTAGTATCTACATTCTGATTGTGGTCGTGTCTGCCTCTCAGGGACAAAAAAAGTATTTCAGGAACTTTCTCTCTTTCCATTTATCACTAGTTTTTTAAGTACACATCTGGCACTTTGAGAAACATTCATCCACAAGCAATGTTGGCAGCAGAATTTAATGGGACTTGATGGCATCTTGTTAAATGCGGAACTATAACTGGGTCAGGGAAAAGGTGCATGTGAGTTGGGCAAATTTCTATTTGCATGCAAAAATTTCTAGTTTTCCTTTCAGTGAATCAGGGCAAGTGGCTCTTTTTGGTCATTTGCAGCTTCAACAATTACATATTTCCCTATACTCTACTGCTGGAAATTACTGCACTATAAAGCAAGGCAACAGGTAGAGGAGTATCTCATAAGTCCTCAATGTGATGATTTATCTTTACCAGCTATTGTGAAAGAGTTATTTTTTATAAAAACAGCTACATCTTGTGATCTTCCTGTATCTGATCTGTTTCAGGAGTCTCAGCTTTGAGGCATTTCAAAAGCTTGTTTCAGACTGGAATGGTTTGGCCCGGAATTTCTACAGAGAGCTTAAGCAAGCATTTTCAGTAATTGACACTGGTGAGAAAACAATTTCAACAATTTTAATAACTGTTCCCTTAAAATGTATTTTAAAAATACTGAGCTTATTTAATTGTAGTGCCATTAGCAGTGACTATTTGTAGTCATAACAAAGGTTACAGGGGGTTAACCCTTCCCTATGCTATCCAAAACTAAAAAAAAAATATTTTTTTGGCTGGAGTTACACTTAAAAAATTTACCTGTTCCAACTTACATACAAATTCAACTTAAGAACAAACATTCCCTATCTTGGTTGTAACCCGGGGACTGTCTGTAAATGTTGTCAAGCATGTTGTATAGAATTGTGTAGAATATTCATTTTTTTTATATGCAGATAATGATGGAAGAATAACAGCTGCAGATTTAAGAGAGGCCTCTAAATTGGCTGGACTATATTTTACAAACAAAGAGCTTGAAGACATGCTACAAGTGGCAGATAAAAATGGAGATGGAACAGTGGACATAAGTGAATTCATCGAGATCATGCTGAAAACCAATTTGTTTTAGTGTACGAGCAAGTGACCACAGTTCTCATGACTCAGTTTCCTTTTCCTGTCTGTGGGCCTTGTGTAAGTGGCTCCAGTGGTTTATTGGTAACTGCAAAGGACACCAGGATGTTCCTCCCCAATTTCCACAACTTGTGTTTTATTTTTACATTGTAGCACCACATTTGTGAACCCTTAACAAAAGCTAACACGTTCCAGTTCTTTCAATGTGTGCTCTCTGTATGAGAATGGTTTAAAATGAAGCTTGTAGTTTCCATAATTTCTTCTTTATTTGTTTTTAGATGTGTTCATATTTAAAAATTGATGGCATCATAAGTCCATTTTGAGGGTACAGTTTTTGTATTGATGTGACAACAGGAGATTGAATAAACATTGCATGTTGGGCACTCACTGACAGTGCAGGTTTTGATTAGGCTCCATGCTTATTAGTTCCTGATTGTAATGATCACCATTATAGATTTATCATTGTGAATTGAAATTATCTCATCTACTTTACCAGGCTTATAAATTACAATATCTGATGTGTCTGATACTTTAAAATTTTAATAGTAAAGATTATAAAAAAATATTTTATATAAAGATAAATGAATGCCATTTTCTAGGCACTTTAGGGTTAGAAACACAATACTACACCAGTACTCTAACTTATAGGATACTTGAAGAAGTAAATCCTCAAAGGTTAAAAAAAAAATTATCTACATGTATGCCATTTGAGCAGAGGACAATACTTAAAAGGCAAAATGAGACAGCCTCGTGCAAAATCTTCAGCAAAACTTAATTATTAAAATACATCAAATACTTAAAGTACTTAAAAAACAGCATCTATAACACACCACATAAATCCAGGCATGGATCCCTGCAAATTACCAGATACAGATAACCTAAGGCTGGGTTCACACCTAGGCGTACAGAATATGTGCGTTTGCCGCGCGTTTCGTGCCGAGTGTTTTTACCACGATTTGCGGTAAAAGAAACGCGCGACAAACGCGCATTTCCGAGGACTATCCGGCCGTATCCTAATGGATACGCGCGGCAAATACGCCCCAAAGAAGCTCCTGTACTTCTTTGGGCGTAGGGCGTTTTGCAGCACATTCCTACACGCTGTAAAACGCCCAGGTGGGAACCATGCCTATAGGCAATCATTGGTCTTCACATGTTGAGCGTTTTACAGCGCGTAGGAACGCGCTGTAAAACGCCCAGGTGTGAACCAGGCCTAACTGTAGCACCCAATAAGAAACCATCTGACAATGTCTCGGTTGTGCATTGTTTTGACACTTTTTGAGGACCAGGCCCTCCTCTTCAGAGCTCCAAATTTAGTTTTTTTTTATTAATGACGTTTTTGCATTACTTCGTCATTTCGTTTTAGTGTTTGAAGATTTGCCCAGTCTGGAGAGAGCTGCAAGGTCAAGAACACTGTTGTATTACTGTAGTCCTACTGAAGCTTCTAAATAAACTTGGAAAATCAGTTACCATTGGTATTGTATTCTTTAGCACATGAGCACTGACTGGGAATAACTTTTCATATATAAAGGACACTACCTTTTTTAACGCAGTAAAAGAGCATAAACATTTGCATTTGTGCTGTATTTACCAGCACAGCTTCCAAGTTGCTCTGTACTGTTTGTGCAAACATCTGCTCAAGGGTTGCATGATTATAACTCAATACAATGTCCCCCGATCCCCCTCCTCGGGACTACATGTCCCATGATGCCAAACACAATCATGCATGCATTCCCTGTTCAGTCCTTTTTGACTGCCTTTGTATTCAGTGCAGGCAGCAGTACAGCAGTGCAGCAGTGCAAGGGAACAGAGCCACTTGAGAGGAGGAAACCTGGGGCAGTGTCTGTGGACTGCCTCAATCAAGAAGAATGGCATGCTTTGAAGAAGAAACAGCAGACAAGGTAAATGCCTAAGTAAGCTGCTATAAAACATTTTTCTCATTTAGAGCTTATAGTACAGGGCTACATATAGATCATTTAATACATTCATGTTAGTATAATTGTAAATGTATTGTCTGCACTGTATTAGCAGTATATACTCCATATAGAGTATATACTGCTAATACAGTGCAGACAATACATAATTGGGTACCGTAATAAATCCCCCCAAATCTGCCCTCACTTACTGTGCTCAAAAAAATGGGCTGAAAATCTCGGCTTATACTCGAGTATATACGGTAATAACATTTTAAGACATGTCCATCAATCCCCATATTTTCTACACTATTAAATATATCTTTCAGCTCTGCAAATATCTTTCCTTACAGAATAGAAAACTTTACGCTGCCCACTTTATACTGTTTTGCTGCAAATGTTGTGGGTATTTACAGAAAATTCTTAATCATCTACAGAATGTTGCCACCAATAATTGGCATCACTGTAAAAGTAATAAAGTTCTACATGCATGGGCAGGCAACCTGTATTTCATGTGCCTCCTAATACATTAAGGGCTTGTTCACATCAAATGGAGACCAGATCTGCATGAGTTTCTGCACACGCAGTGCAGTGTGTTATAATGCGTTTTTTGCCGCGTTTTTGATGCGTTCCGGGCCGTTTGTGGTTTAAACAAAAAAAAAAAGTATTTTTAGTTTAGAATGGGCTTTCAGTGCGTTCCAGGGCGTTTGCATGTGTTTTGATGTGTTTGCATGCGTTCCAGAGCAGGTAAAATATGGCTTGCTGCAGTTTTTTTACATGCTCTGGAACTGAACTCTGCAGTGTGAACTAGAGCCCAAAACACCATTGGAATACATTGGACAAAGTTTTGATCCGGTCTGTAACTGCTCTGGTCTGCTCCTGGAACGCGCATGGTGTGAACAAGCCCTAAGGCCTTGTTCACACCAAATGCAGAGCAGATCTGGTCAGGTTTCTGCACACGCAGTGCAGTGCAGTGGGTTGTGCCGCATTTTTACTGACACAATTTATATCTTATACAGTTGTCACTTGAACATTTGTCCTATTTGGATAATTTTCCCTCACCGCTTGCTGTGGTCACAACTCTAAAAGTCTCAGTCACAATGGTCAATAGGACAAGGTGGTGAATCTCCCCAGCTGGATCACAGACAGCAATCAAATTTGACGGAGACCCTTCCCTCGTTTTTCCAAAACAAAGTAATTAAGTAAAAACTAAGCAAGTACACACATAGGTTTCTGTCTTATTATTAGCATTGTACCCGCCCTCTGCTGCAGTTCCCCATCAGGTCCATCAGCAGATGGCGGGTACAATGCTAGTTTACTATTGGCTATTGCAAATTGAAATAGCCAATAGTAATGTGCCAATGCTTTTCAATGGGAAATTTTTTTTTTTTCCTCTCTATTCTGAGATCGCTCGTGTCAGAATAAGGAAAAAAAGACACATCAGTGCTTCTCTCCTTGGCGGCCGGGAGCGGGAGGCTCCCGGAGCGCCCGGGAGAGTTTTTTTTTTCTTTTTTTTTACAACAGCAGAGCCGCCGGACAATAGCAAACTATTGGGCGGAACTAGCTGTCACTGCTAGCTCCGCACAATCGTTTTCTATTTACTTTTTTTTACTTTTTTCACTCTTTTCCGCTCAGCAACACTCGGCTATTCACTCACTGCTGTTCGGCATCTTTAAGAATAGCCCGAACAGCAGTGAGTAGCCTGCCGGAGGTTCGGCTCAGCCGAAGGTGCTTGCTAGTTAAAGTTCACCTGTGGATAGACTATGGACATTAAACTATGTGTATATTCCTGACAAGTATTAAAGGATCTTTAAAAGTCCTCACTTACCTCTCTAGCTATATGTACTGTGAAGGAATTCATTCTCAAAGATCACAACAAAAACTATGAAGTAAGGTTTCTGTTGGTTTTCGAACAGGTTAGAAAAACCTGGTGTATGCTTCATTAGAGGATTGGCAGACTGCTAAGATCTGCTTTCATATAAAAAGGTTAACATTTAAGTGCCTTGGTTGTAGTTAAAAATTAATTTCTCCACCATGCTTATAGACATGGAGGTGAGAGAAGGCTTATTTTAAAGACCTTTTGCTTCTTGTTTAGAATATGTAATTATGTGCATAGGCTGGACACAAGTTCACTTTAAAGCCACACTCCAGGACAAAATGAGTTTTTATCATTAAAAAGTTGGATGCTATGTGTGAAAGGCTGCTGCAAAGTATAAAAATCTTACCTTGCCCCATGCCTGCTCGTACACATAACTCTATTCTTCTGAGCACTGTGGAGAGTGAGGGATGCGATTTGAGTAGCAGAGTGCTCTGGTCACATCATATACCCCTCCTCACTACTTACCAACCCACAAAATTTCATTAATTGCTTTTAAAGAATGCAAGTCATTCTGTGATTGGAGGGGGAGGGGCAGGGGTGTGACATCATCTCTCCTCCTCCATCCTTGCTTTGCATGAATAAGGTCGGTGAGTAACATAATCAGGGCTATAATAATAAAAAGGTAAATTGGGCATTTATCATGAGCCCAGGATAGGAGAGACAAAATTAGCCCAACTGACTGCGTACAATGGCTTGTACTAGACATGTAAAGACTCCAAAAAATTGTTTTATTTAGTTTTGGATCGATTCAAATTTGTTTTCAGATTTTGGATCCAAAATTTAATTTGGTTCGTTATGCAGTATTCAGATCGATTCAAATTTTTCGGTTTCGGTTTGGATCGATAAGAATTTTTAGGGGTCTAGGTCTATTCACTAAGCTACCGAGGGCAGCTGTGCAGAGCTAGCAGTGACAGCTAGCTCTGCCCAATAGTTTTTCCTACAGCTCTGCTGCTGTCAAAAAAAAAATACAAAAAAAAACTCTCCCGGGCTCTGGGAGCCTCCCGCTCCCGGCCGCCAAGGAGAGAAGCACTGATGTGTCTTTTTTTTCTTTATTCTGACACGGAGCGATGTCAGAATAGAAAAAAAAAAGAAATGTTCCCATTGAAAAGTAATAGTAAACCAATAGTAAACTAATATTGTACCCGCCCTCTGCTGATGGGCCTGATGGGGAACTGCAGCAGAGGGCGGGTACAATGCTAATTTACTATTGGCTATTGCAAATTGAAATAGCCAATAGTAAAGTCCCAATGCTTTATTGGG